CTTGTAAAATATTTTAAATGGGGTAAACCTTTATCTGGACTTAATATACTTTGTGTTCCACATTATGGTTCATTGTTGAGGAAATAATCTGGGACCTTCCCTGGCCAGTTTGCTCAGTGGTTAGAGCATCGGCCTGCGGACCTCGGTTCCTGCTAAGGGCATGTACCTCGGTGCAGTTTGTCTCCAGCCCCAGTTGGGGTCCTCGGGTGGCGACCACTGGATGTTTCTCTCTCACATTGATGTTTCTCTCTCTCTTCTTCTCCCTTTTTCTCTCCCGCTTTATCTGAAAATAAGTATAAAAATGTCCTTGGGTGAGGATAAAAACAAACAAACAAACAAAAGATATGATCTGGGACCAACACAACAGATCAATCACAATTACTGATACTAAAGTGTTTATGCTGTATATAGGAAGCACATAGGATGGGGATAAGGAATATAGTCAAATGTATTTATATTGAAGAGTTGTTAGAATTAAAGTTTGATGGAGATTGTGGAGTCACAAAGAAGAGGAATTTTAACCAGTTGCCATGTCTATAGAACTGGGAGAGTCTTGCTGCTAGGTAACTACATCTAGATTATAATAAATTCAGAGACAAAAAGGAAGAGTATTTATATTATCTTTGTCATGTAAGGTCTCAATTGAAAATCTGTGTTCATAGAGGTGGGTCATACAACCATCAAGGAATATGACTATATCTAGAAAGGACCATGGGAACCATTAATTCTTTTGCTGGTAAGTCACTCAAGAATTTCATGTAAAGGAAAGAAGTAGTAGTATTTGTGTAAGCAAAATATATGTATTCCACACTCCCATAAACAACCGAAACAGCAGTCTTTACTAAGTATTCACATCTTGGGGACATCTATGACATTTACTATTTCCTATTCTAGTATATTTTACTTTGTTGAGAGGTACAAAATTGTGCTTTAATGGGTTGTTTCTCATATTTTGAAAAACTGTGACAGGCTATAAATAAGAGTGAGAAGGGAGATGGTAATTAAGACACAAAGATTGATCAATTTGACAAAACTATGGGGATATAAAAAGATTTTATCAATCGTCTTATACATATATTAGTATGTACCATAATGTTCAGTCAACAATAGGCAATGGTGACACTGGAGGGGAGATGTGCCATGGGTTAGATGGATGTTACATAAATGTGTTTATATTTTATTATATTCTTAAGAATAAGAACATTTTTCATTACCATGTAAAATGGAATAAAATCAAGCTAGAAGGGTAGCAGTTGCAGATGGGAATGTACTAAAGACAAAATAAAATACCTTCAGAAATGCAAAGGAAATCAATAATCCTAAAAGGATGGAGAAAAGTTTTGGGGAGAGTAATATTTTCTTATGGGGCACAAACATCTGAATTCCCACAGTTTTAGAATTGTAAGATCTTTCTTGATTTCACATTTCAGATAGATGTATTTATGACATAAATACATATATATCTTATATGAAAAATACAAATACAAAAATATTTGGCTCAATAATGCAAACATATTAGTGCATATAGTAAATATGAGAAATCTGATACAAGTATAATATCTTTCTGACAATACTGATCTGTTATTTTCTTTTTTGAATAGAATATTAATAAAACCACATAATGTGCAGACACTGGGCTACACACTTGGGAAATATGAATAACACAGGCCTAAATAAATTAATGGTCTTGAGTACAAGTTTGAACAAGATGGTGGGGGCAAAGATACACTTTAGAAATTTGTAAAATTGCATTTGATACTTCACTTATACATGCCAACTTTTATTTATAGTATGAATATGCACAATCATTATCAGATCAATAAGTACTGAGAGTGCTTAAAGTAAAAACATCAAAAACCCCTCTACAAAATGAGGAAACACAGGAAGTGAAGTCTGCCATGAGAGATCTAAATTACAATGATAAATTCACTTCTCATATAAATAACATAGCAATAAAAAAATGTCTAATTAAGGGCCTCTCATCTCCTGAATTGTGAACTCATTTCTACTTGATTGAGATATAGATTATATAAATAGAGATAGAGATAGATAGAGAGAGAGAGAGAGATAAAGATAGAGATAGAAATAGAAAGAGATAGATGATAGATATAGATTAGATAGAGAGATAGAGATAGAGACAGAGACAGAGACAGAGACAGAGACAGAGACAGAGACAGAGATAGAGATAAATAGAGATCTTGATTTAATGGCTTTAACATCTTTCCTCTGGAATCATTTTTCCTGTTACTTACAAAATCTTTCTATGTTCACACTTTTTCATGAAAAGCTCTTTTCTCCTACTTAATTCTACTAAACCTTCATGTCAACAATGTGAAGCCCAACTAATACCATGACCCTTGCAGTCTGGCAGAATTACATGTATAAAGGAACACAGGAAGGAGTTAGGACAAGTAATCATGTCCCATGGATACATACAGGGGTAGGCAAAAGTACGTTAATAATAACAATAAATAATGCAATAATTAAGAAATAATAATACAGTAAAAACCTCGATATGATGGACTAATTGAAGCAAGCTTGTGTCCATTCAAGCCAAAAGCCCATTACATAATAAAGTAGGTTTTCCAAATATGTATCTAAAAAATTGATAAATTAGTTTACCTCTTTTTACTTATGTAGACACATTTGTGTAATTAAAGTTAAGTATGTATGAAAAGTTTAACTTCATAGAAAAGTTTTCTATATGTATTACTGTAATTGTAAATTTATACTGAATAGGTCTAGTAATGTATGCATTTACCAGTCACCATGAGTAAACAAAGGCACACAGCTGGGGCATGGTTTACCGCACACTGGAACATCGGCTGGCATGAGTTAAAACTGCTGCAGAAAGTCATGACACACACAACAACAAAACTAATTACTGTGCACAATGCTGTGTGATCATGTACTAATAATTTGCCAAACATTCTTTATGAGCAGTGATTCTTGGATCTAAATATGTAGATATGTAGTATTTATTTATGTTGGCAAAATTACTACAGTGTTTTTCTTGTTTGTGTTTTTTACCAACATATGGTCTATTTGCTAAAATTGTTAAAAATAACAATGAGTTATTAACAAAAAAATATAACTTGTTAATTATAAACAATTCTTGGTTAAAAGCATTTTAAAATTAACAGGGTATTAATTTCCACATATGCCATATGGACTGGAAATTTTGCCCATTGAATCAGAAGTCCATTAAACACAGGTCCACAAAATTGAGTATGTACTGAACTGCATTTACCTACGCAGCTACATTGATAGGAATCTTTGCCTTCACTTGTTTATTGGCTTTACTTTCAATTTTAGATAAATTATTTGGTCACATTACTCAAGAAAAATATTTTAAATACTTTCATATCTTATTTTTACATATATTATTATTATATTTATATCAAGGTTTTACTATACTCTCATCCTCCTGGAACCACATCAAAAATACAACTTAACAAAAGAACAACAATCATTCCAGAGCACATGAAATCTAGCTGAACTGAAGTCCTACAACTAAGGATTTAAAGATAGGCAGGAAGGATAAAGACACAGAACAGGCTGCTTCCACACTCACATGTGGTGGATAAAACTTCTCTAACCTGGTGAAGGGACTAGACTACAGATCCAGGAAGCATAGAGGGTCCCAAACAAGATGAACCCAAGAGGCCCACACTAAGACACATCATAATTAAAATGCAAAAGGTTAAAGACATAGAGAATCTTAAAAGCAGCAAGAGAAAAGAATTGAGTTACCTACTAGGGAGCTCCCATTAGAATGTCAGCAGATTTCTGAACAGAAACTTTGCATGCCAAAGGGATTGGCGAGAAATATTTAGAGTGCTGAAATGCAAGGACCTACCTCCAAGATCTATCTACCTAGCAAAGCTATCATTTAGAATTGAAGGACATATAAACAGCTTCCAGGACAAGAAAAAGAAGAGTTCATCACTACCAAACCAGTATGAAATGTTCATGGGTCATCTTTGAAAAGAAGATATAGGAGGAGGAGGAGCAGGAGGAGGAGGAAGAAGGGAAGTAAAAGAAGATGAAGGAGGAGGAGAAGAAAAAAAAATATGAGCAATAAAATAAATGGCTTAAATACATATTTATCAACAACTGAATCCTAATAACAAAATAAAGGAGCAAGCAGAACAGAAACAGACTCATAGATTCAGAGAACATTTTGATGGTTGCCAGATAGGAAGGGGGTTGGGGGTTTGGTGAAAAAGGTGAAGGGATTAAGAAATACAAATTGGTAGTAAAAGAATAGTCATGAGGATAGAAGTAGAGCATACAGAATAGAATTGATAATATTCTAATAACTCTGCATGGTGTTTGATGGATATGAGATTTGTCAGGATAATTACTTAGTAAGTTGTAACATCTGATCACTGGGTTGTACTTCTGAAACTAATATAATATTGCATGTCAAGTGTAACTAAAAAAATGATTTTAAAATTAATAAAAGTAAAATAAAATTATAAAGAACAACTATATATTAATATCTACACCAAATCAATATGTAAAAATAGACCCCCTTCAAACATGATATTTGTTCACTTTTCCATTAAGACATTTGTTTTATATATTTATTGTAAAAATATTCACACATGTTCCAGTATTTAAAGAACAGTCTCATTAATCACTATGTCATTCATCTAGGTTCAAAAAGTGTTAGTCTATGACTAATCACCATTTTTCAGTACATCCACAGTCTCACACTGCCTTACATTTCTTAAGGGCAAATGTATGCAGTATTCTGAGTCATGTCTTGAGCCAAACGCCAATCGATTTTAACTCATATCTTTCTCATTCTCCTCCACCATGGCCTGTTCATAACCCCCAACCCTGTCTCTATTCTTTTTATTTTCCCTTTCAGTATGCTGCTCTGATGGCGTGACTTTGCCAGAGAATAGATTCAAAGTCAGTGCGGAACACCCAGTTCAGATTGACAAGACAGAACAGTGATGCTTCCTGCCCATCCTATTTTGCTCTCACCAATGGCTGTGTATGGTGGCACCATAGTGGCGATGGGTGAGGCCCTGGTGCATGTGAGGAACACTCCCCTCCCACTCTGGCTGGGGGTGTTTCTATTCCAATATGGATGTCCCCTGGTGGTACATTCCCAACGCCATTGTCCCCCAGAAGTGGTGATTCCCTTGAAGGTGGCAGGCACCAGCATTGCCATGAAGCCTCGAGGTTGGCTTTCTTACACAATGCATTTTGCGGGCCAGAGACACATTGTCCACATGATGGTCAACAAGTTTCTCCTGTCCAAACACCTCCCAGTATTCACCTACACAGACCAGGGTGCTATCCTTATGGAACAGCCTTTTGTCCAGAATGACTGCTACTATCATGGTTATGTAGAGGGGGATCGAGAATCCCTGGTTGTCCTCAGTACCTGTTTGGGGGGCTTTCAAGGAATCATACAGACAAATAATGTGGTTTATGAAATAGAGCCCAAAAGATTTTCTACCACATTTGAACATTTTGTACACAAGATGGACAGTGAGCAGACACAATTTCCACCCAAGAGATGTGGAATAAGAGATGAAGAAATAGCACAACAATTGAAGCATCAAGCGAGTGTTAATTTCACTTTGATGCAGAGCGGGTACGAAGGCTGGTGGAACCACAAGCAGGATCTTGAACTGGCACTGGTGGTGGACCACAGTCGATATCTTTATAGCGGAAAGAACATCACAGATGTGCACCAGGATATGTTCTTTGTTGTCAATATAGTACAATCCTATTTGAGATCACTGGGTATTGATGTGGTTTTAATGGGAATTGAGATCTGGACTCAAAAAAACTTCATTGAAGGGAATGACACAATGATTATCCTGGACAAATTTTCCAAATGGAAGATGACTGGCTTTAATGACCGCCTACCCCATGATCTTGCACATTTTTATACAAAGTGTAACAATAATTCTGCTGTAACCTATCTTGGAAAAATATGTGATTTAGAAAAGAGTAATGTAGCTATTAGTTTTGTGAATAAGGATTACAATGATATTGCATACATTGTGTCACATGAGACTGGTCATAGTTTTGGTATGAGGCATGATGAAAAATATTGTACATGTGGGAATGTGAACTGCATAATGTTAACAGATCCAAAACCTGCAACTCGATTCAGCAACTGCAGTTATGCTGACTTTTTCAACCACCGTGAAGCACAAAATTGTATGTACATTTCATCAGATAGAGGGAATGGCTTCTCATTTAAACGATGTGGGAACAGGGTGGTTGAAGAAGGAGAAGAGTGTGACTGTGGTACTTTAGACTTGTGTGTGAAAGATCCATGTTGTGAAGTAGACTGCACTTTTAACTTGCATGCCACTTGTGCTTTGGGGCTTTGTTGCAAAGACTGCAAGATCATGCCAAATGGTACACTTTGTAGAAAAGAGGAAAATGAATGTGATCTCCCAGAGTGGTGCAATGGGACATCCCACCTTTGCCCAGAAGATGTATATGTGCAGAATGGGATCCCATGCAAGGGCGGTGGCTACTGCTATGAAAAGAGATGTAATAACCGTGAAGAACAGTGTAGGAAAATTTTTGGCAAAGATGCCAAGAATGCAAAGCAGAGTTGCTACACAAAAATGAATACCCAAGGTGACCGTTTTGGTCACTGTGGTTTAACAGCCTCTGGCTACATAAAATGTAACCTCTCAGATATCTTGTGTGGGAGGATTCAGTGTGAAAACGTGACAGAAATTCCACTTCTGAGTGATCATTCTACAGTGCACTGGACTCATTTCAATGGCATCACCTGCTGGGGTACCGACTACCACGTTGGGATGATCATACCTGACATTGGTGATGTGAAAGATGGTACAGAGTGTGGTGCAGAACATGTCTGCGTCAAAAGGAAGTGTGTTCATAGGTCACTTCTGTTAAGTAATTGTTCACCTGAGACCTGCAATATGAACGGAGTCTGCAACAACAGACAAAACTGTCATTGCTACAGTGGCTGGGAGCCCCCCAACTGCCTGGGAAATGGCTTTGGAGGTAGTATTGATAGTGGTCCAGCTCCTAAGATACAAAAGACACTAAGGTCACAAAGGGAAATCCTGATACTCCTTCGGTTGATTCCTTTTTTTGTTGTAATATGTTTGTCAATTTGGGCTTTCATGTTATACAAAAGAAGAGATAAGAGTGTTCCACCTTCACCTGAGGAAAATGTAAAGCCTTCCTCTAAGGAAGAAGAGTAAGATGTTTGAATTTAATTTAAAGAAGAGCAGTGAAATGTACTACTCCAATTTAGAAAGAAAAGCAACAATTCGAAATTTCAACAAGGAAACCCAATCTTATCAAATTTCTTATGTACTAAGTTTTATATCTCCTGGCTATAGAAATGTTACACAATATGTCACAGACCATTGACATACCCTGGAGACTTTTTATTATTTGGGATCATTAAAAAGAAAGGCCATCGAACAATCAGCAAAATATCCTTATTCCTAGAATATATCTACTTTCCATCATTTTAAATAATGTTAGTGTTTAATTGTTCATGAAATTAGTCTCTTTATGTTTCCTGAGCAAAGATACAGCTAATGAATAATGTATATTTATGTGTATTTAAGTGGCTGTCTGAAATCTATTCATCCTTCCCATTTGCCCTGTGCTTTGTTACACAGGGAATGCAAACAATCGAATCAAATTTTTTCTTTGCCAGTCCTCACATTTTTAGCTTCTGCAATAGTTGGCAACCAGAGGAAGACTGGAAACTTTTTTTATTATTTATGCCTGTCTTGCCTCATTAACAGCTCTAGCCTTTACAGATAGTGACTTTCAGTCTGCACATTATTTATATATATAATGCAGGGGTGGGTAAAAGTAGGTTTATAGTTGTGAGTACACAAAACACAGAGTTTATTTTTTTAATTTATTAATTATTGTCTTATTTTTATATAAATAAATATAAACCTACTTTTGCCCTGCTTCTGTATATAATGTTATAAATATAATTTTATATATATATATATATATATATATATATATATATATACACACACACACACATATTTTTTAATAACTATCAGAACCAACACTAGTGTAAGACTCATAGATGCTGGCATAGCTACCAAGCATGTTACCCTCAGGGTTTATATTGGCAGAATTTTGAGTCCTCCACCAAATCTCTCAGATTTCAGTCCTAGGTTGGCTAACCTTCTCCTCAGAGGTTCAAGTCTTAGATCCATGGGACTTATTGCAAATGTATAAATTCCAATAATCCCATCTCTTCACTTTGATCTCCAGTCCTAGGAGCAATAGCTACATCTATTTGTTAGAAACTCATGTTTACCTCAGTAGTGTGGTTTTATTTTATGACATATCTCATTATCCTAGTATAATGGAGAACATGTAAATGTATCTGACAAAAGAAGATTTTAACTTTGTATACATCACTCCCCTGTAACATCTTGGGGACATGATTTACTCTGAGACAGAATCACTGCAAATCTGGAAAGTCAGAATATAATACTTGCCATTCAACTCCTTTATACTTTTTCTTATAAAATTGATTACAAAAATACAGCTCTGTCTAGGACATATAATCTTCACAAACATGTTTTCTCTGGTATAAATAAATAAAAACTAGAAAATCCAAATTATATTTTAAGATTGTATTTATTTAAGGGCATCAAAGAGCAGAGAAAGCAATGCAGAGATGAACTAAAATTTTAAGGCAGGAAAAAAGTCTGAAAAAAATTCAGTTTTGCCCATCATTTTTTTTCTGAGACCTTGACAACAATGAATGCAAATTGAGCCTTAACCTTGGCCCAGTTAGAGGACTTCCCCTGAGAGAAAGAGAAATCCCCAATACTCTTTGTTACTATACACATTTAGATCAATTCATAAATTATATATTAAGAGGCCTCCAATTCACAACCATTTTCCCCATGTCACAATTGCTTAACTTGAGAGCTTTGTGGGACACTAGAGAGCTACTCTGAAATCTCTCAAAGGCATGGTTTCCTAAAATTGTGGTATATTTTGGACACAAGGCATAGTGAAGGGAGGCATATCTTAAGCATCTGTATGATGTCTTCCCATTACACACTTACCTAATTTTTTTAAATATGGTTTTCATTGATTTTAAAGAGAGAGGGACTGAGAGATAGAAACATCAATGAAAGAGTAACATAGATTGGCTGCATTCTGCAGGCCCCAGCTGGGGATGAGCCTATAATTGGGAATCAAAATGGTGCACCAATGACACTCAACCAATCAAGCCACATCAGCCAGACCTCTTACCTGATTTTGATATTGCATGTGGCGAATTGTTGGAGATCTAGATTCTTAGATTTTCAGTGATAGAGATGAATCCCTCATAATCTTTTAGAGCTGAGAAAATAGAGTCACATAAATTCACAATTGAAAGTCTAGCAGGCTCATGCTTGAGCAACACAAGAAAAGGAGAGTTCACCCAAGATATGCTAAAAATTCACTTACCTCATACCTAGCACTATCTGTGACCAAAGGTAATCAGCTTTCATACAATCTTTCCAACAAAAGAGAGAAAACTCTCTAAAGAAGCCACCTAAAGATTCTTTAGTTGATTATATATAATTTCCTGCATACAATTAACCATTATTTTACATGATAAGAGCTAAAATGTAGCACTTATTACTAAGAAAAGGAAAAAAAAAAAAGAAAGAGAAAGAGAAACTATAAGTAATATGAAGGTGATCCAGATAGTGGAGAAAGATTACACTTAAAACATAACTATGATTAATACATTTGAAAATAGAATAATAATACACAAAGTACAGGAAAGAATGTAGAAAATCCTCAGTGAGTTATAATAAACAAAAATATCAACTGACTATTTTAGAACTAAAATGAAAACTATAGGAATTTAGTTAATAGTTTGACAGTAATCTGGAGATGGAAAAATACATAATTACTTATATGGAAAGTAGTACAATGGGAAAATTCCCACACTGACTGATGTACACAGAAAAATAAAAGCATAAATATTGAATTTTAGAAATATGTAAAACATACAAATGTTCTAACATCCCTAGTAATTGATAATTACAGAAAGTGAAAAGAGACAAGAGAATAAAAATAATATTCAGCCCTGGCTGGTTTGACTCAGCAGTTAGAGCATCTGCCTGTGGTCCAGAGAGACCCGGGTTCAGTTCCCGCTAAGGGCATGTACTTTGGTTACAGTTTGTCCCCAGCCCTGGTTGGGTCGTGTGGGTGACAACCACTCGATGTGTCCCTTTCACGTCGATGTTCTTTTTTTTTTTTTTTATCCTCACCCGAGGATATTTTTCCATTTTTTGTGCAGATAGAATGGGAGGGAGAGAGAGGAAGGGAGAGAGAGTGAGAAACATCAACGTGAAGGGACACATCGAGTGGCTGCCACCCGCACGACCAACCAGGGCCGGGGACAAACTGCAACGGAAGTACGTGCCCTTAGCGGAAACCGAACCTGGGTCTCTCCGGACCGCAGGCCGACGCTCTAACCGCTGAGCCAAACTGGCCAGGGCTCACATCAATGTTCTTCTCTCTCCCTCCCACTGTCTCTAAACAAAAAACAAAAAAATGACCTCGGGTGAGGATAAAAAATAAATAAATAATAATATTCAACACATATTTATTGACTACTTTTTTAAAGAAAAGAAAGATATCAATCCATTGCTTCAGAGTATGTCATATATTTCTCAGTTTCATAAACAATCTTTCTTTTGTTTTATTTTCTTATCATTGTGACATTCTTAGTAATCTGACAAATTAGCTTCTTTTTCTTTGCATGCTGAAATCTTCTAGTGATCTCTTCTACAAAATGTTTTGTTTTAGTTATTATAATATTCAGAAGATTTTTTTATTTGGGCCTCTTATGTGTGTACATATTTAAGATTTCATGTTTTTATTGATATTCATAGTGGCTTTCCATAGAGGTAGTATTTGGTCAGAAGATGTGCTTAATCTTTTGAGCCAGTGAGACTTCAATCCTTCTCAAAAGAGGACAACCAGTAAAATAGTAAACTAATTTTTAGTTAAAAAAAAACACATACAAAAACTGCAATTTTCTTATATTTTATAACACCAGCATGGCAAAAATAAAAGTTGTGCTTGAATATACTATATCTAAGCGAGGTTATAGACAGTTAAAACTCTGATACAGTGCATTGGTTTTGGGTGTGTAAACTGATAGAAACATGTTGGAAAACTATTTGTACTACTTTCTATGCCTGAGCATATCGCAATCTAAGTTATAATCTGGATGGACATGTCTGCATATTTTTATTGAATGACATATACTAAAATGTTTATATTCATACTAACCATAATGCCCCCAAACTAACTACCCAGCAGTGTCCAACAATGGTGGTCTGCTTTAATAACTTGTGGTACATTGACATGCTGGAATGAGATGGAATGCTCTAGAAATGCATGTCACAACATGGATGAGTTTACAAACAAAACATTGTGTGAAATACATGAGCTATAGTAAAGTACATATGGGATAATTCCATTTGCAAGACTCACAAAACAGGTGCAACTATGCTATTAAAATTTAAGATAAGACTTAATCTTAGAGGGTACACAATTTAGTGCATGTAACACTAAAGTACAATTTTTTAAACAATATAAAGTATTTTACTGTTTACATAGTGTAAACATGTAAGTTTTGAAAATAAGACCTTCACAAAGCATTTCCTTGGAGCTGTCTGGTAAACCATGACTGCTTAAAATGTTTTCCTTATTTTATTTTAAAAAGAAATGATGCAGTCTGACTTCTCAAATATGTATTCATGCCAAGATATATGGTTAACTAGAGTCAGTGGAGCTTTTCATATTTTACTCCATAGTACATTTTTAAATATATAAAACAAGAGATTTTAGAATAAAAATTGAAAAATCAAATAAAATGATGGAATCATTTAGGAAAGTCATTTTACAAAATGAAAGTGAATCTAATTACATAAATGTAATGGAATTGTACCAGTGAGTGCACAGGGAAGAATCAAGATTTAAAATTAAAAGTTATGTTCATTTAGCAGGAGTCTTTCATTGGTTAATTGCACTAATATTTTGAAATATAAAAGAGTTTGATTTGGGAAAGAAATTTAGCATACAATGTAATTTCAGTAATTGTATATTGGTTAAATTTCATTGAAATACAGCCAATCATTGTCTATCTCCAGCAAGTAAAAGATCGTGTTCATTCTAAATTCAGCAATATTAATAG